TAGAAGAAGTAAAAAGTCTTGACGGAATAATACCGAAACAATGTTATTTTAAGTATATAAGAATATCTTTACAATTTTGTTACGATAACATAAGCTAAACACGAAATTTCCGAATGTTTTATTATTGTTATACTTTGTCAGGGCCTTGTACTGAATAATTATTATATTTATTATACAAAGTAAGGACGGACTGAGAGTTAAAATAACAACCCCAGTCTTATTTTTGCGTTCAATATTGGGTAGGGGCCTGTTGAAAACAAAACTTATCAGTAATTAATTCATAACTCATCCAACATTACGAACTCAATTTACACAAACATTGAATATTAGGGATGAGAACAAAAATATTTTTCGAACCGTTAAATTAATTAGAATGGAGTAGAGATGGTAGTAGGTATATTCAACAAATTTGAATTTCGATTTATTATGTCGATTAATTGTTTTTAAATTCACACACACATAAAAAAACGCATGAGCTAATAATCATTCAATGCTAAAAACATTTTTCTAAAACAAGAACCTTACTACCTACCTTGGGGAAATCCACACTAGGATTTTGTCCTGTATCGTGCGTACACACCCGTGTATACAATAATTTATAAACAAAGCGTGACGTAATATTATAATCATCATCATCATCATCATAATCAGCCTATAAGCGCCCACTGCTGAGCTAAGGCCAGACGAGGTTGCGAGTGACGTGATGTACCTACCGTGGCCCCGGCCCGAAACAGAAGAAGGAACGGGTAGTTTTTACTCAATAAGAGTCTGAAACTCTCTCTCAAACACCCAAGATGTTCATTTGATTATTTTTTTCCCTCAATAAAAAATCGCTGAGCAATAAAATCTCTCCTCACGCGGAGAAGGTTATAATGCCACCCGATAAATATGTTACTCTGCGTAAATTCGTTTAGCTACACCGACTTTATTTTATTTAAAAACAAAGTTAGGTAAACAGACCAAATTAGTTTAGTTATTTGTTAGATCAAGTTGTTATAACTTTGATTGACAGTTTACCAAGCGTAAGGTTTGGTCACACTGTTAGCGGTGGCACTGTTCATTTGTTTTAAGCCGGTTGCACACATGGGGCCAAGGTGTTGCGCCAACATTTTGGGCCAAAATGATAAGCCCGTAGTACACATTGGCCCAAGGTATAAGGCCAACCTATTGGCCCAATGTGTGGCTACTTGCTACCAGCACACATACCGCATGTTGGTAGCGACGTTCCGGTTGCTCTATACTGATCTTTTTTTATTCTTTATTTAATTTACGGTCTTTTATATAAAATACATGTCAGTCCCATCGTACCATTTCACAAACATTCTTCTGATCCTTTGATGTGTGGACAAAAAACCGACAACATTCGTTTTGCTCGCCAATATTGGCGCCAACCGAAACATCGCTAACCAACATATCACCAAGTAGCCCTCTACACGTTGGGCCAATGTGTGTACTGCGGGCTTTAGATGAAGCCAGTCGTGATTTGGTAAAACACTGCCGAGAAAACGGCGCGTAGCGTTCCAAACGCTTCAAATAGCCAATAGACTACCACAGATGGGACACAACAGGTCCGAAGTTCAGGCAGGTGGCGGGTCGAGCGCAATAAGATTCCGTGGCCTCGGTCTAGACTGAATAGAACCAGGAGGTGTTTAGTCAGTTAAAGTCCATACTGGCCTTATCCTGAGTGAAAGAAGTCATTTGATGATTTTCCCTGTCATAAAAACAAAAAAGGTACCTACTACAAACACTGCAACTATTGGAGCAATATAAACAGTTGAAGATATAATATGTATATAATACATTTCCAATCCCCAATATCCGGTTTCCAATCCCTAAAACTTACAAGTAGGGTTGCCTACTTTTTGTAAGTTGGCAGCGTCACTACGTGCAGCGTACGTTGACTAGAAAAAAAAATAAGTACTTATAATAAGGTTTTGTTTCTCATGTGTTTTACGGTATATGTGAAGTTACCAGAGGCCCAAATAGACCATCTTCTGCCTCCGCGAAAGACTTACAATGGACTTTTAATTCCTCTGCACCTGTCCGTAGATGGCGCTGATTGCTTACCATTAGATAATAAAGCAACATTAACTAATGAGGACCCTCCCAATGATGAATTACGCTGTAACTGCAAACACAACCCATTCATACATTTATAATTGTTTGACCTTGTTTACAACCGCTGTTTAATATTCTAAAAAGCAATGTTTATACCTTTTTGGAATTAGCAAGATATTATTAATGTTACCTTATGCTTACTAACTAGGAGTAAGTAAGCAGGAATGTCGCGAAAATGGAGACAATTATTGGGGCTATACCACCCTTTTTTATAGGGGAAGGAGGGAGCAAGACTGAAGATTCATTAGCATGATCTCGTCCCTAAAAAAGGAGTTGTTACTAGTTGGTTTTTAGTCAGCAAGAGTCTGACGCTCCATCAGGCCAATCGCCTCCCCTCAAAAAAAAATCGCATGAGTGAATGAGATCAGAAACGTCGTAAGTCACACAAAATTGGGTAGTCCTAGGTCAAAAATAAATTAATTCGACGTTTAAATACAATAAAATATTGAAAAATAACTATTCTTTTATTCATCGATCGATGAATACACAGAATTTAAGATATTTTTTAGCAATTTTTTTAAGATATAAGTAAATTATTTGACGCAAAAAAGCTATAACGTCGTAACTCAGTTTTTCATAGAAAAGTATAGTTTTCGACATTTGGATAAAAGTATTGAATTTGACTATTTGGAAACTACAGTATTGCCGTAACAATTAACAACTAACTTACCTTACACAATCCTGTTAAAAGAAAACAAATGACAGACCATCTAGTTTTAATAAACTGCTGTTTCATTCAACTAGGTAATTAATTTTAACACAATAAAATTGACAAATTACTTGAACTTGCTTTAAACAATTTTTCTTACCTGTCAACTTACAACCTAAGTTTTTTGAACAATGAGCCTTATCTACAACATACGAGAGTTTAAATTCCAACATTGACAAGAGATCAATTACTTACGCGTGTAATACGCGAAAGTGGTATCATTAATTATATTATTTTCTCTTTTTATGTCATAGTTCGGTAAACGAGCAGTATATAGTATTACCTGATGGTAAGCAATCGGCGTCGCCCATGGACACCCGCAACACCAAAGGAGTTACGAGTGCGTTGCCGGATCGGCCGATAAGGGTTTCAAATATTTAAGATGGATTCGACCTCCGGTAACCTCACTCACACGGCGAAACACAACGCTGTGTTTGTTTCACGCCGGTTTTCTGTGTGGCCGTGGTATCAATCCGGTCGAGCCGACCCATTCATAGCCGAAGCTTGACTCTCCAACACTTAAACTTATTATTAAAGGAATGTTTATTTTTTACTTTATATGAGAAAGTCTTGACGTACTTACGATGAAGTCGATAAACGTAGCGTGGTTTATGGTTTACGTAAATATTACGTCACTATGAGTATCCATATATGCGTAAGATTCGACCTACGACATATGACCCCTTAGTGATGGGCAAGTCTGTACGTTTTGTTTTATCGATAACTTGTTTAGGGCACACAATTTCACATAAGTATTTTTTATTTTTGTCAATGTTTACTAATAAAACTTTTTTGGTTAGTTAGTTAAAAATTTTACAATCTGTTTTGCGGTTGAATTGATATAAGTGAATCATTTTTTTTTTACTATCATGAACCTAATTTGGAAATTCTCTTAACACAAGTACTAAGTAGTATTAAGCTGTTTTTTCTCCCATCTCTAAAGACCAGCAAAGCTCTTGTAAAAATCCTTCCCCTTCCCCAATCCCTCCTCAATCCCTAAATCTCCAAATCCCTAATCCCTTAAAGGTCGGCAACGCACTCGTAACTCCTCCCTTGCGAGTGTCCATGGGCGGCGCTGATTGCTTACCATCAGGTAATCCGTCTGCTCGTTGGCCGACCCATTACACATAAAAAAAAAATATCTGACTATAGTATATCGATAACAAACAAGCTTATCAACAGATAATGGACGCGTCAGCACTAACACGCATTATTGCGTACAGTAAAGAGAAACATTCGAAACGGCTTGCCCCATTCTGATGCAATCGTAGATGAGATTTTTATAACGAAACAAATAGATGCCAATCTATTCTAAATAGCCACCGAAATATTACTTCATAGAATTAACAGAACTAAACAATAAGATTTGGTTAATTCAGATTAATGTTAACGTTGAGTATTTATGCAACGCAAAATAATTAATTGTTACTACACTGTTAGTGCAGTGGCTGGACAAATGGCTACTGCGCAAGATGTCGGGGGTTGAAAGTTAGGGAACTCCTTGTGTGATCTACAAATAATTTTTCCAGGTCTGGATGTGATATGCATGTTTGATGAAAGAGAAAATCCCATTTCGGGGCAACGGTTAAAAAAAATTTTTTAGTTTTATATTTAGTTATGTAAAACCAATTTTTAGCCGCGGTTTCGCTTAAACAATTGTAGGTATTATCAAAGTCTGATCATTATGTCATTTTTCGTATTACAAACTGTGTATTTTTCGTAAAATGTACCTAATTAAAACTAATCAATGATTTTCTCATTTAGATAGGTATGTGTATTGTGTATTTTATTGTATCATCACTTGTACAGATATGAAATAGAGATTTAAAAATATGCAGTGTTTCTGTAGCTTCTATTAGCATTGTCTAAATATATGTAGGATTTGTGATATTAATATATTGCGTGAAAATGTTCCTTAAAGTTGTCAATAAAGTGTTGTTATATGATTAGGAGGAAGTTTTTACGAAAGAACATATCGATATAATCGAGAAATTAGTGAACTGATTGTTTATAGACTTTACAGAAAAGGTGCTAAGGCACAATATTAAGAAATTACGTAAAAACTTTGAGAACAGCTTTAAAAATCACAATAGAATTCAAAACCCTTTTTTAAAAAAACAAATAAAATAAAACACTACAGAAATTAAATTGTACATTCTCTTTTTGTTCCCAGCAATAATGAAATACCAGTGAGAGGTCAAATGGAAGAGAGTCCATTGTACACGCAGAAAAAATTTGAGGTAAAATTATTTTATAAAACAATACCTACAGTTTAACAGGTGAAGTACAGTTAGCGTCAAAGACTTTGTGTGATTTAAAAATTAATGATTCTAACACCCGGTTTCTGAAAGGCTTGTCAACGCTAAAATTAACTAATCCCCTGTTAAATCTCTTGTCAAGTCATCTGATTGGTTGTTGATAATTCAGTCAACCAATCAGATGACTTGACAAGAGATTAAATTGATTTAAACATTGATCGGCCTTTCGGAAACTGGGGGTATATATCATGTGTATTGTATGTGAAAATGTTTGTTTATAAACGCACCCACGACATGGAATCCAATCATAGTGAGGGACACGTATACACATGTAGCATATATACATATTTAAATTAAAAAACATAAATATATATGCTACATAATAATATGTATTTATCTCAACAGAAGACGTCTCTGTTTTACCCTTGAGTAGAAAAGAGACCTCTTTAATAAGAATAGAAAAAGAACTCTCTATGACTATAAGGTGAAATTTTAATAATACATTAGCTTAATTGAAACGTAACGTGTAGGTAATAAAACACTGGCATTTAAATTTTATAAAAGCTTTACAATTTTACGGCTCTCGTCCCGTGTTGTTATTTTTTTCATGGCATTCGAAACAAGCTATTCTCGGGTCGCCTGATGGACAGAGCCTTTTCACTAAGGGCAGATGGAACTGGATGATTTCATCATCATCATCATCATCATCATCATCATCAACCTATAAGTGCCCTGCTGAGCATAGCCTTTTCGCACACGGATAATGTTTCAGCATTAATCACCACGCTTGCTCAAGGCGGGTTGGCGATTTCAAACTTATAATTAGAAATTATAAGTCCAGGTTTCCTCACGATGTTTACCTTCACCGTATGTCAGTGGTGTCTAAATAATCATAGAAAGTAAATTTGTACTTGCCAGGTTTCAAAACCGCTCCCTCATGCATGAGAAACGGGAGCCTTAACTTCCGAGCCACCACGATCATCGGCCACTAACTGCAGGCTTATACAGCATGATAATTGATTATTACTTGTATTGTTCTAGATTGAAGACGAAGGTGATGAATGGGAAGTAAGCAGGTCTAGGGTGCACCTTGGAGCTCTGATAGGAAGTGGAGCCTTCGGCAGAGTGCATGCAGCTCAGCTGGATATGCCTGGAGGAGAAACTATTACTGTAGCTGCAAAAATGCTCACAGGTATCTAAGCCATACGTAATTGTACTGACTGCACGGTAGCTGGGCAACTGGGTGCTATACAACGCGTCGCGATTTCAATTCCTGCTCTAAAAAACACTTTATGTGATTCACTTTTTGTTTCGGGTCTGGATGTCTTGTGTATGTGAATTTGTACTTCAAGTTGCCCCCAGTTGGGGGGCAAAGATTTTGAAGAAAAAGAAAAGGAAGAATAATGTTGACTATCTTCTGTTTTTAAGAGAAATAAGTATGGAAGCATAGTTATTTTAGGCAAGAATACATTGCATGGTCCTTGTACCAACCTCGAGACCTGTTGATGACTTAGAACCTTAGAAAGTTAGAACACTCGATCAAAGAATCAGATAAGAAAAACGACTTTAGTATAGGTTCAGTCAGGGTTGTAGGTTCAAACGAAAAAATGTAAGAAACGGAATGATTTTTTAAATTGAATATATTTTAATTATACATTATAATTCTTCTGTGCTTTTTTAGGACGGAACGTACCTAATACTTAGTTAATTTCGCATTCTCAACACAGATTACATAAAACGTCTAGCTAGCATCAAGGAAATGAAAGTTAGCGGCCGTTATGTTCATGGATGCACTCTTGAACTTCTTGTTTCCAGTCATTTCTTAGATAACTATGTATCGAGTCATATTAGGTTCTTAAAACGCCCATCGTAAAAATCTAAAACGTCGAAGAGAGAGGGAGAGAGAGTGTGTGTGTGTGTGTGTGTGTGTGTGTGCGTGTGTGTGTGTGAAAGAGAGAATGAGAGAGAGAGAGAGAGAGAGTCAGAGACAGAATTTACGTTTTATTCTATTATCATGATAATGTTTCGACATTTAATGGCTCAAGGTCAAAAGCTGTTAACTTAAAGTTTGGACTAACTTAAAGGATTTTAATAACAAAGTCTGTATTAAATAAATAAACAACACTTTTATCAGGGACGCGGCGAAATTGCACCAGGCGAAGCTGAGGTGAAAATCAAACTATGCTTGCCCATTGCAACGCAACTAATCAATATTAAACATATCTTCTACAGCAGATTTATTTAGTTTCTACAGCAGATTTATTTTATCCAAGACAGTCATTCATGTCCCTGGGACGCGCCTGACTTCAGTGTTCTGGTGTTTTCATGGTTGCATCTACTGCAGATCCTAGCTAACAGAAATTACAGAGGTTTTTGGAGGTTGCGGCGAGCTTGTCCCATTGAAAAAAATATTCTTCAACAGATTTTTGTACCTAATTTGTTTCGTTTTGGGAGCCAATATGTCCTCAGGACGCGCCGGACTTCAGTGTTTCGGTGTTTCGTGGTTGTATCTACAGGAGATTGTAGAGTTTATTCTCGACCGACTGTCTTCGCATTCAACCACAAGCAAATACTTTGTAAAAACTATGAGAATAAAGATTGTATTCTTCTGTTACAGAGGAAGTGTCTGAAGAGGAAATGCAGGACTTTTTACGGGAGATAGAAATGCTCAAACATGTTGGTTCTCATAAGCATGTTATAAGGTTAATAGCTTGCTGCACCAAGCGGGCACCACTCATCGCGCTCTTAGAACACGCACCAAGAGGGGATCTCCTATCCCTCCTCAGAGCGGCGAGAGGAAGAAAGAAAGATATTGAACTCTCCAACTCGACAAGAAGAGTTGATAGTTCCCAAGGAAGGCCATCCGAAGGAGACTGTAAGTTTTATCAGATGTCTTGAGATAATTTAAGTATAAATGTCATTTACAAATCATACTGCAGTAGCTCTACTAGTTTCAAATCGTAGCAATGTCGGAGCCAAGTCGATGCTAGTCAAGAATAACCTAATAACCCAAAAAAAACGACTGCACGGTTGGCGCAGTGGCAGGGCAACTGGCTGCTGTGCAACGTGTCGCGGGTTCGATTCCCGCACGGAACAACACTTTGTGTGATCCACAAATTGTTATTTCGGGTCTGGGTGTGCTGTGTATGTGAATTCGTATGTTTGTAAACGCACCCACGACACAGGAGAAAATCCTTGTGTGTTCAACGGTTTTTAAAAAGATAAAAAAAAATTTTACAAAATAAAAAAACCGCCTTCAAAAAAAGTCAAGCAATAAAAGTTCCTACACTAAAAAGTAAAAAATAACAATTTGAATTACTGTAAAAAAACTTAATTTATAGGTAAACTTATTTGACATTAATATTTTGCAAATATTCAAAATTTATTACTTATTTTTGGAGTCGGTGCCAGCATTTTGATGTTGAAACTTAATGTTAGTTAGGTTTTTAATATCCGGTGCCATTTTTCGTACATAATGCTTAAACATTTTCAATGTACTTAAAATGTTTTTGTAAGTACATATTTTTTATTTAAAAAAATGTGCAAATCGGACATTTTTTGTAGAGAAGTCTAATCTGTATTTATGTCTTAATTAATATACCTATATTTGAGTATGCAAATAGGTATTAAGTAGTTTTATAATTAAGTAAGAGGTAGTTTTTCAAGGGATTGTTGCCCATTTGTATTTCCTTGCATGGGCTGGCACCGACTCCAAAAATAAGTAATAAATTTTGAATATTTGCAAAATATTAATGTCAAATAAGTTTACCTATAAATTAAGTTTTTTTACAGTAATTCAAATTGTTATTTTTTACTTTTTAGTGTAGGAACTTTTATTGCTTGACTTTTTTTGAAGGCGGTTTTTTTATTTTGTAAAATTTTTTTTTATTTGTAGCCGTTTAGTGTTTTTTTTTTTTATTATAATGTGTTATGGCAAAGAAGTCAATATCGTTCCTACATTTCTTTTGAAAAAGTTACCAATGTCATACTTATACGTAGAAATAGATATCATAGTACATTGTTACTGTGTAATCGTTTTGATCTCGAGGAGAGATGATATGATGCATGAGATACTTATGACTTATAGTTAAAATAAAATAATAATCTTATCATAAATTCATATTAGTTCTCGCCAAATAACAAAAAACTAGATATTTTCATCAACAGACAGATAAAGTTCAAAGATACCAAATGCAATCTAATTTAGTATCTATGATTAAATACATTCGTACATAGAAAAAAGACCAATGCAATTATTGTTTTGTATCAATTGTAACCCATTAAATGAAGAATACTATTTTGTTATTACTAAGAACATTCATATATAGACAAGTTGGTAAAAATATAAAAGACCATCGCTATTGTAAATATACATTTATGACTCATTCAATGTATGAACCTTTTTTAAGTAAGTATTATCTACATATGTGCACACAAAAGAAACACAATTATTGTTTTGTACGACGCAATTATTGTTTTGTAACCCATTTAAAACGACTGTTTTGTTAAAAATGCCAATTAATTCTCTTAGCCTATTACCAGGAAAACGATAAGAACACAATGACGCATTTCACCACTAATGTGTAAACGCAGTCCACGTGGACTAATGCAAAATAGCCAATACTAGGCCAAACTCCGCCCCCAAAGGTGTGCGGTCCCGCTCTAGAACCTTTCGGCCCCATCGGCCATCTGTTCTACGAGCAATGTGCCGTGCCCACTGTCACTTAAGTTTGGCATTTCTTCGGGCTATGTCGGTGACGCTGGTTCTTCTGCGGATTTCTTCATTTCTGATTCGAACATGCACGGAAACTATGAGCATAGCTCTTTCCATTGCTCTTGACAGCTCTAATAAGCTTACACAATACTAGGCCCCATGCCAACCTTCCAGCTTCATCATCACATCAGTTCAATAGTACCTTACAGCCAAAGTGCATCTTATAACAATTCTAACAAGCCCAAACACGGCTAGGATATATTAATTAGGTACGCAGTTCCAGTGCCTACCTTCCAGCTCCATAATCATCATTAAATCAGTTCGATGATAACATTTCCAACATAATTATTTAAGATCATTGGTTTACAGTGCATTTTCATAGTTGCTGAACTACCTTGATTGTGATATCTATGCGAGTGTCAAGTTTCATCATCCATTTCTGATCTTCTTCACCAGTTCCACCTCATCAAACATTACTTTTTGACTGTAAATGCTTGAGTGCTCTATGAAAATATTAAAATTACTATATAGTTGCCTATAATATTTGAGGAGTTCCCTCGATTTCTCATGGATCCCATCATCAAAACTTGATTTTGAAAAGAATGGGACCAATCTGGAAGCATATCCTTTCAATCATAAAAAAAATTTTGCAAATCCGTCCATAAACGACGGAGTTCTGAGGTAACAAACATAAAAAAAAAAAATAAAAAAAAAAAAAAAAAAAAATACAATCGAATTGAGAACCTCCTCCTTTTTTTGAAGTCGGTTAAAAAGAATAAGGCCCCGTTGTCACTCGAAACTAGTAATACTTTTGCTCAGTTAATTCCAGTAAATTCTCCACAGAGTCGTTATTTTCAAAAATCTCTTCTCCCTCAACAAATGATCTGATTTTATTATAACCATTGAACTTACAGTTTTACACCACTGGCGAAATAGGGAGTAGTATGTTTTTTTAAAAATTATACTAGTTGACGATCAGCCACTGTTTGGTTAATGATGAGTAGGTCTACTTAAAAATAAAAAAACAAAACACACTCGATAGCAATGCCTATTTTTTTTCATATAGCAATACCAAACTGCGCTTCTGACGGTCACTTACAGAACTAATATTCGCCTAAAAGTTTTACGTCATCTTAATCGAGTATCTATCGTTAAAAATGTTGTTGCTATAAAAAAACATACAGGACCACATTTCATTTCGATTCATCGTAAAGTAATTTAATTGAGCAAGGTAAAAACATCCTTATTCATAGGCAAACACTTCAAAAATGAGCGTCAAATTAATGAATGTGACACAATGAAGAACAAGAACATCAATTAAGAATGTAAATAAATGAATGTCTCATTCGGAGTGCCTGTGCATTTTTATGAGCAATGTGTATTCTTGAACATTGACAATCAAAATATTTTAGGAACTCTATATTTTAATAGACTTGTGTACTTGTCTAAAACATTACACATAAATATAAGTACATATTCTATACTAATAATATAAAGAGGAAAAATTTGTAAGTTTTTAAGTTTGTATGTAGCGGGTAATCTTTGGAACTGCTGGTCGGATTGCCAAGATTCTATCACTGATAGATAGCTTCAATGTTTATGAGTGCTATAGTGCTGAGCAGCGGGCGAAACCGCGTGGGAGTAGCTAGGATATAGATAAAATAATTATATATCCAAACGTATATTTTTTTAATTTGTTTAACCAATACTAGGTGCACATAAATAAACCAATCTGGGTTTATTTATATTGCTTTTATACATACTCGTATATTGTACCTATATTATCTACACAGGGAACATCAGGGAAACTTTTAAAGAAATGGGACAACAAACGAACAGAAGCCTTACCTGATGGTAAGCAACCGGCTCCCATGAACATCTGCGACTCCAAATTAGTTTTATTTTATTTATTTAGAAAACCAACAGCGATACATGTGGTATAATACAAATAAAGATATTACATTAAGTTTAGTAAGGCTAATAATATCTAGGTTTCCCAGCTTAACTTAATTTGTGTTTACCATGCGAACGGACTTTAAACAATATTAAAAAATAAAGTCTTAAATTAAAAAACAAAGTCTTAACTACCTACTTGTGGTAAGTATATGTCGGCAAACAAGCAGACGGCTTACCTAATGGCAAGCAATCGGCGCCGCCTATGTACATCCAGATCCAACCAACATCAGAAGAGCTAAGAGTGTGTTGTCGGCCTTTTTAGGATTAAGATTTTGGAGATTTAGGGATTAGTTAAGAATGGGGGGAAGGGAAGGATTGGACCTCTGGTAACCTAACCCACACGCCGAAACATACCGCTGTGATTATTTCAAGTCGGTTATTCTGTGAGGCCGTGGTATCACTTCGAGCCGCCTCGTCAGCTGAAGTATTACTACCATATATGGATTATTGAAGATATAAATCACAAAATTTCACCTATTAATAGGCCATTTTTCTTAATTTCAGCTGAATACACGAACCTTAGTGATTCGGATCCTGCTCTCTCGGAAGGCGATGGCAAGTTGTATATAGATAGTGATAAGAAAAAGGACCATTATGTAGCTGAACCTGCCCTGCAACTAGATGGCAGCACTATGAGAGAATATGCACTACAAGTTGCCTTGGGCATGAGGCATTTAGAGGAAAGAGGGATAACGCACAGGTAACTAAGAAATATTTATTTATTGAAGACTATTTGGTAATCTTTAGGAGGAACTCAGTTCACACACCGAGCCAAATCTAATTACATTGATGAAATTAATGAAACATATTGACTGCACGGTTGATTCGGTAGCTGGGCAACTGGCTGCCGTGCAACGTGTCGCGGGTTCGATTCCTCGGAACGGAACAACTCTTTGCATGATTTACAAATTGTTGTTGCGGGTTTAGTTGTCATGTGTATGTGAAAATGTATGTTTGTAACCGCACCCACGACACAGGAGAAAATAATAGGGTGGAAACGTTTTATTTAAAAAAAATATCATATCCTTATGATGCATACACACACATCTACACACACAAACACAAAAACAGTCCAGTTATGATTTAGGTGACCTTGAAGACACCTAAATCATAACTGGACGAGAAGACCGTTGCAGGAAAGCTATAATATATTTAAAGAGGTACTTAACTTCTTTATCCAAGTGTTGCTAGTGCAAATTTTCTAATTGCCCGCTTATTGGCTATTTTACTCGAAACCAGCCAATCACAGCGCCCTACGTCACAAACGTCTCGATCGCTTTAATCTTTAGCATATTCGAATTAGACATTCTGTTGTTTATTGAGATATTATTGATTAGCTACTCCCACGCGGTTTCACTCGCCGCTCGGCTCCATTTGATTGTAGCGTGATGTTTTATAGCCTATAGCACTCGGGAACATTGTAGCTATCAATAAGTGAAAGAATTTTGGCAATCCAAAGTGGTTCCAAAGATTACCCCCTACATACAAACTTACAAATTTTACCTCTTTATAATATTAGAATAGAAGTATAGATTAGAAGACGGTACAATATTCGGTATAGGTAGTTACTAACATATACACTATTTAATTACTTACACCATTCAAGCATAAAGATAATGCCATCGGTTGTCCCAAATAAAAACTAGGGATGTTATTGATATGTCATTTCGAATCTGGATACGCAGACAGTTAAATGAACAAAATGACATCGTTTTTTATATTATTACTAGCTCTTACACGCGGCATCGCTCCCGTCATTTGACTACCTACCCTGCTCTACCTACTCTACTCTACCTACCCTACTCTACCTACCATACTCTACCTAACCTACTCTACCTACCCTACTACCTACTCTATCCTATCCTATGTCCTTCTCCCAGTTCTTAGTGTGCTTACCGATTTAGCTGAAAATTGGTAGGGAGGTCCTACGAATTTTCAGCTAAATCGGTTCAGCCGTTCTTGAGTTATAAGTGGAGTAACTAACACGACTTTTTTTATAAATATATATAGATGATAGATAGGACGGCAAACGAGCTGACGGATTACCTGATGGTAAGCAATTTAGGTGCTTAAGCGACACGTTACACAGGGGCCGGTTGTCCAGTCACCGCGCCAACAGAAAAATCGACTTACGTACAATTAAACTTTGACGTTTCAGAAGTGCCTTTTATAGGATTAATTAGAAACGATGCTTTGAGTTTAGCTTTCATGTTATTACAATTATTTTGTTTCATTACAATTGGTCCTAGTGCGAACAATGTAATTTTCTATACTAATATTATAAAGAGGTAAAATTTGAAAGTTTCTATATAGAGAGTTAATTTTTGGAACCGCTGGTCGTATTTCCAAAATTCTTTCACCGATAGCTACAATGCCCCTGAGTGCTACTATAAATTATACTTAGCTATCGAGCTATCGCTTTAAACGCTGTTTTTAAAGTCGTGGTTTCCATTACTCTTATATGCTTACGAAGCCGCCGAAGCCGCTGGGTTAAGCTAAGTTACAATAAATCGATATAAAGGTATATTTTTGTATTAGAGTGCTATCATTGACAATAACAGTTGTACATATATGCACAGTCACTAAAACAAAACTGTGACCCCAGGATTTCAAAACATCGGAGGTAATGCGCAGGTCAGAGACTGTACGAGGAAAACACCGAGTTTTTCCGAGAAGGGATCCCGTTAACAGCTATTTTCCCGGGGTCTGGAGCCCCGGAGAAAGATATATTTAATTTTAAATAGAAACTTCATGCCGGCATTCATGTACTTACCTTACACAAAGTTTGATTACTTTGATTACTTACACCATAATAGAAAAATATGAGGCATGTTTAAATTCGTTTTTTTTTCGATTCAATTATATACCTACTAAATAATATTCAATTACTGTGTAAAAAGCATTCCAAAAGTAAAAAGTGTTATTTAATTAACAAAATCCATTTTATTTATTTATAACTCATTACAAAATATATTATGATATTTTTTATACAAATGTTAAAATAACAATTGAACAAATAGATGCAATAATGCATATCTACCTAAAAGCGATAGGTAGCTGGTTTTTAAATACCTAACTAAAAATAATACTAACATGTACCTAGACATTTTCTGATACGAATCTGAAGGCGCCAAGGCCTTAAGTTGGAGTCTCTTGCCTCTCCTGGTGCAAACCCTCAGAACTGTGCTCTACGCTCTTTGCATATGCATATTTTTTATTAAGTTTTTTTTTTAATTTTACTTGGGATCAGCAAAACGCTATCCCTTGATATTCCTTCCCTAAAGTGGACGCCACAATATTTTCGCCCGGGGTGTCAGTGGCCCTTACGGCACTGCTAGCGAGATAGTAAATTTATCGTTTATTTAATGGATGATATTATACATAATATATAAAACTTTGTATTTGTTAAAAAAACCGCATGAAAATCCATTGCGTAATTTTAAATATTTAAGCATCCATAGGGATATAAGGACAGAGAAAGCGAAGTTGTTTTATACTATGTTGCGATTACCTATTAATAATAAATTCATTTTTAATTATATGGTTTACTTAAAGCAACATTAAAACTTTTTCTTAAGTTTCCTAATTGAAAATTATTTAACTTTAATTAATTTTGTGGCCATCGATGTTACAACATTAAATAATCTTAGCACGGACAGAATTACGGCGCTCGATGCTCCAAAACATTCAGCTTTCCCGTTGCCTAGCAACCGTTGCTAGGAGCAAACCTCAAGGTTGACGAATCATCTGATTTATTATCCCGCAATTTTCAATTCTATGCTTATAGAGGCAAAGTTTGTTTTTCAAAAGGTGAATGGATTATTTTGTTTTCGCTCATGAGGTCCCAGCCGTACTACGGTCAAATTAAGAAGCTTATTAACCACATGAGTTAGTGAAACAAGTTACTTGTGTTTTTTTTTACAAACCGACAATAATTTTAAAACCAAGGAAGGGCGGCGTACAGTTATGTATTAATTTAAATTTATTTGCTGTAAAATTCACTATGGTAAAAAAATCGACAGTACATCTCGATTTTTATTGCGAGTAGGGTGTCAATGATTGCCGGGTACATTGAGCAATATTTTTACGTATAGGTAGGTATAATATATATCGCGTAGATAATAATGAGAAACTGGATATTTGATCGATTAATGAAAATACTTGTTACGAAATGTCTTGTTTTAATATTTAAAAAGACAGTTAATATGGTGGGCATAGCTGTCTTTCTTAAATACACTACTTATTGTAATTAAAATAAAATATTCTCGAAGTTGGCTGAAATCCGTTGTAATTTAACGCTTAGTGACACTGACGTTCACGCAATGACGTCACAATCCTATGTTTCCTTAAAAAGCTGCTGTGGATGTCGTAACCATGGCAACTACATGATAAACGAAAGACGACCTTGTTGATTTGCTTACTGTGACGTCATGACGAATTTGATTCCGATAAACTGCACTTAATTGCACTACGCGAAAGCGTCTTGAATGGTCTTGATCCCCATCACCATCACATAGATGCCTGGCAATCAATCCTGGTTTCAGCCCCGCACAGCAAAACTATGCCTCGGCCTTATTGCGCTTACCCCGCAACCTCGGCTGAACATCAGCCCTGTAGAGCCCCGTCTGTGGTGGTCTATTGGCTCTTTGTGGCGCGCACGAGTCGTACGGTGGCCGGAGATCTTCTCTCGATCCCCGACGCCCGGAAAGTCGCCTACTGAGACGGCTGGGGCGTGAGGATAGGATGACAGTTCCCTCACGCGCTCCGCCTATTCCTTTGCGAGCAAAACTGCTTCGCTGAAAGAGGGCTTCCGAGTTCCTCTCGCTACGAACCATGGCCTCGACTAAGGCCGGGCCCGAGAGCTCGCCGCCGCCAATAACTTCCCCGAGGACACGGCGGCGCTCAGCTCAGGCACCGCCACCGTATGCTCCGCCGTATCCTCAGGGTGGTCCTTACGATGACTGATTAAGTTTACCAGCTCTCCTCCTCTTTAACTTTCACACCCTGTCCCCAAAACTATAATGATCACATTCATCACTGTTAGCCTGATTCCGTTCACTGCTGGACATGGATGATAGCAGTTCTTAAGTAATATTTTTTGTATACATTTTTATTTATTCATTTCTGACTCTGGATATCTCTAACTTACAGGGACTTGGCCGCCCGGAATATACTAGTAGACGGTTCTGGTCTACTGAAGGTAGCAGACTTTGGTCTATCAAGGTCTGGTGTGTATGTACACACGAGAGCCAGGCCTGTGCCCCTTCGATGGCTGGCTCCGGAAGCCATTTTGCATTCCCAATATTGCAGTGCCAGCGACGTCTGGGCATTCGCTGTTTTGTTGTGGGAAATCGCAACATTAGGTAAGAATTTAATTTTTCTTTTATATAACAATCATATCATATTTTAAGAACTAGATAGCAGGTCATATAAAAAAGCAAGGCTAATAATAACTATCCATAATTATGTGTCGCGGGTTCGATTCCGGCACGGATCACCTCTGTGTGATCCATAAATTGTTGTTCTGGGTCTGGGTGTGATGTGTATGTGAAATTGTATGTTTGTAAACGCCCCCACGACACAAGAGAAAATAATGATACGGATGGGGCAACGTTTTAAAAAAATTACAGAGTCATGTTCCGACTTAGGTACTAATAATTGTACAGAAATCTTTTTTTTTTCAAAATAGCTTTTGCCTAAGCAAAAAAAAGCTGTGCAACTTTTTAGCAACTAAATTTTTGTTTAAATTTCACAACATTATATCATATCTACCTAATATGTTTTTATTTATTCTATTCTTACTAGAAAAAAAAATCATTCAAATCTGTCTATTACTTCCGAAGAATCGCGCGTGCGTGATTTTATTTTAGCACACTGTTTATTTAGAAGCTCTTTTCTCTGTCTGTGTGTATTTTTTTTAATTATTTTAGTCCCAAATGATTAATGGGTTAGTTTCAATGCATGTATTTAGTAAACACCGTTTGTATTCCAGGTGGCTTCCCATACGCTGAGCTGAGTAATCACCAAGTTCCTCCCTTCTTAGCTGGTGGTGGCCGTCTTCCGAAACCAGTGAGAGCTTCGACTAGGCTCTACCAGCTCATGGTGGAATGTTGGTCCGAGAACCCAGCCGACAGACCAACATTTGCCAACATTGTTGATAAGTTAACAGTCCAGAAACAATTATATGTGGACTTGGACTGTGTGTTTCCACCTTCAGAAGACGATCTCGGATTAAGAGACTTTGATTTCAATATGGCTGGCACAAATGGTTATCCTTACCGGTGATTGGTCATTGTTACACTAAAGACTGAATATTTTTTTAATGTTATAATTATTATCACCTAATTTGCACATTACACTTGTATGATATTATATTCTCGTTTTATTTCAATTTAAATGTGAAAAGCAAAGAAAAATGTTGCCAATTTTGAGAAGGTTCTTCTGACAGATAATTTTAGAAAACTTGAGGAAAATTTTCGATAAAATAAACTTTTCGAAATTTCAAATAAAACAAAATTAAATGTCTGTCACCAAGGTACTTCGATAACATTCAGAACTATTTTTATTTTATAAAAATTCAAAGTGCTTAATGACATAAAAAGAGTAAAGATTACAGAGAAAATATGTGCTAAAAATTGCACGAAAGTTACAGTTGGTATTGTTCTATAAACTAAAACTAAAATAAAAAAATATAATAAAAAAAAAATACATATACTTATTTTAGTATTTGGCAGGCATTTGGCCCCAAAACATATTATGAATTACGCAAAATACACTCGCAAAATACGACTATTTTTTTTCCTGTTATCATCGCATATATAATGTTACAGTAAATAAGTACTTGTATTTATTAGTATTTTTTGTAAGGTACATTTCTTAGAAGTTGGATCAATTTTATAGATACTTGACTAATAGTCAAAGATGAGGAAAAGGAGGATTTGAGTATTGGGCCTACAATTTTGTTTTACAGACTGCAGTTGAATAGCAAACGTCGTTGATAAAAAGCTATAATTTTTTTTAACGATAATATTCACCCCAAGTTTAAGAGCATTTAATCTCACTGGCAAAGGTTTTTAAACAAACATTCAAATAAAAAAATATTTGAAGGAAAACCCTCAATAGATATGATTACTAATTTCTGTTTCCTTCTTATTAAAAACTCAATTTATTTATAGCTAGCACAATAGCTGTAACAATGAAACAATGATGAAACAATGAATTGTGCGCCTTGCAAAATTCTAATAGCAATAAAACGTTCGAAATAAATAGGTAAATCTGTTACTACAATACAAGTGGCGCCACCTAAATATAGTCCTTTTTGTACCTTCCTAAGTGAGACTATGTCGTAGTGAAAATCAGTGGGCTAATTGTTTCTACAAATTGATTGTGTTGCTTGAGCTCACGAATTTGCCTCCTATAAATCATGAAATATCATAAAGATATCCTTAGTGGTGTGAAGTAAATAAGAGAAAAAATCTTTCACATATACATATGAGAACGCCTAGTTGAAAATTAATAGCAATGCGTGTTTGAATATTTTTAAGCTGGTACGTTTGTCGTAGGCGTTACGCGATTTTAATTTCAGTTTTGTGCAGATATTAAAAATCATATATGTATATTGTTGATAAAAAATTGTAGCTAAAAATAGCTATTCACCATTTTTGTTGTTAGACACATTCTGATATATTTTAGACATATCATGCGTAGGTATCTATTGCTTGGACAGTAGTCAATGACACAAAACTTCAATTGTCAGTCATGTCTTTTAAATGGGATAGTGTGACAAATGAACGGAAGGATCACCTGATGGTAAAAATCGCTGCTCCACTTGGACCTCTGCAATAACAGAGAAGTTGCAAATGTGGTGCTGGCCCTTTTAGGTAAGAGATCTAATAATTGGTATGTGGAGACGTTATCCTAGAGGACGCTAGAGGACGCTATCCTAGAGGCTTTAACACGTCATGTCAACATAAAATTACATTTTTATTTTATATAAATTTTTACATTGTTACCTAATGTGACTTTAATTTATTGTCATTTTCAGTATTTTAAAAATTATTGTAAGTATAAAGACTATTTGAGACTGCCGTGCTTCAAGTATTTTATATTTTATGTAGGTAGTTTAAGTATTTGCACGACCCAACCAAACTTTCTTTTGATCGGTATTGTTCGTCGAACAACTCAGCAACACCCATTGATGGCTGACTTGTTGTAAACTGAAACTTGCGTGTCTTTCTTCAGAACGGGTCCATTTAAACTGGTGTGGTTCTTTCCTCCAGACCACTACGGAATGAAATTGCACGCATCTTACACATTCTATGTGGCTCTATTCATATCTGGACTTGAAAAGAGACGGACCTCTAAGTTTGTTTCGCCATTTCTTCTCAGAATAGTCAGATAGGAAATATCGACTTTGTTGTATTGTCTATGATTAGTATTACTAATCAGTGTTGCACTATTATTGTCTATGTCGTCATATCACTATAAAGAGGGTGGCCGAGCAAGTGTCGGCCATTGACAATGTAACTCTGGTGCAGTGAGCTGCAGGACTGTGTAACGTATAAATAAAGTCAAGTATCCAAGATCCAAGTCTTTCAATCATATTACATGGTGTCAGAAGTGAAAAGAACAATAAGAAAAATTCATTTCACGTAAGTCGGTCACAAAAATGGACCAGTCGAGTTCCGAGCCATGCGGCGTGGGCGACCAAGATGGCGTCCAAGGTCTCAACACGAGGATGAAATCATTAAATATTTCGTCGGATTCCACAAATAATAATGCGGAAGCGTGGAAACGGTGGTCGCAGCAACTGGACCTATATCTACTCGCCACGGGTTTAGACAGGGCACCCGAGAAGAGAAAAATAGCCATACTGCTGCATCTTATAGGTGAGAAAGGCCTAAACATTTATAATACATTTAACCTCAACATCGACAAGACCACGCTTGCCGAAGTGAAGCAGAAATTCAATAATTTTTTTGAGCCCCGGAGGAACATAACCATGTGTCGTCACATGTTCTTCACGAGGAGGCAGAAGCAATCCGAGTCCATCGAAGGATTCCTGGCAGACCTGGAAAATAAGAGCCAGGATTGTGAATTCGGAACGCTCAAGGAGTCCCTCATCAGGGATATTTTCATTGCCAATCTGCACATGGACCTGGCACATGTCCGTCAGAGATTGCTTCAGGAGCCTGATCTGACATATCAAAGGATGCGCGAACTGGCGAGAACATTAATCGTCGCACAGCAAGATGCTGAGAAAATCGTCGGTTCCAGCGAGAAACAGGAAAATGTAATGCATCTACGTCGGAGGAGCCGTAGTCGAGGAGATCGTCGACAGCGAGCTTCACCAGTCGGTCGGCAGGGTCCTGGTACGAGGCAGTCTCCCAACCCTGAAAGGCGCACGAGGCCGTGTAGCCGCTGTGGGCAGTCTCATCGATACAAGTGCCCAGCGCAGGGAGTCCAATGCAGGTCATGTAATTTATTTAATCATTTCGCTAAATTTTGCTTTAAAAATAAAAATGTAAGTCGTTTAGAGTCGTTTAATTCAAATAGTAACAGTAGTCAGGATCATTATTTCATTGGAACATTAAACAGTCATTGTCAAAGTCATATAAAGTCAAATAAAAGTACAAAATATAGTCAATATAATGTTAGGTCAAGTAAAAAGTCAGCCAGTACACAGACACATTGTCAATCTGAGAAAATCATTCTCATGTCAAATTTCTGTGATGATAGTGGTGATAATGTCATGTCTAAGAGGTCTAAAAAGAACCTCGGTGATGAAAACAGTCACCTGTCTGAGAAATATAATCTCATGTCATATGGTCACAATATAAACAAATGTTGTGATAGTCAAAGTGTGTATCTCAATGATGAGTACAGACACATGTCTGAGGAATCACCTCACACGCTCACACCACCACATCAAAGTCATCAGTCATTAAACAACATTAATACAGTTCAATCAGAACCTAACATTAACAAAAGTAAACAGTCCTGGAATATTAATTTAAAAGTAGGTAATTTAAAATTTAATTGCATCATAGATTCAGGAGCTGATTTAAACATTATGTCGAAGCAAACTTTTAATTATTTAAAACATAAGCTTAAACAGTTGTCAATTGTCAAAAGTCATATAAATGTCACAGGATTTAGTGGCAAATCAATACCCATTATGGGAAAGGTCAATATTAAATGTAATTTAATATTAAACAATAACAATGTCAGTGAGAACATAGTGTTCATAGTCGCAAATTTAGAGTGTCCCAATGTCTTAGGTCTTCCTACATGTGAAAGGTTAGGAATAATTAAAAGAGTTTTTTCAGTGTCTAAACAAAATTTTTGTCAACAAATTCTAACAAAATACAATGATGTCTTCCAGGGTCTTGGCTGTCTACCTCCTGTCTGTCACCTGAAACTCAAACCTGATGCAGTACCATGTGTGGATCCTCCCAGGAGAGTACCATTTGCGTTACTTGGAAAGCTACGCGAGGAGTTGGATCGCATGGAGAGCATAAAAGTCATAGAAAAAGTCACTAAGCCTACAGAGTGGGTGAATAGTATAGTTATAACTGTAAAAAGTTCAGGTCAGTTACGAATTTGTTTAGATCCTAGAAATTTAAATAAAAATATCATAAGGGAAATATATCCACTTAAGTCAATTGATGAGATAAGATCTCAACTAGTTGGAGCTGTCTGTTTTTCTCATTTAGATGCATTTTCGGGTTTTTGGATGTTAAAATTAGATGAATATAGTTCTAAATTATGTACTTTTCAAACACCATTTGGTAGATATAAATATTTAAGGTTACCTTTTGGAATAAATGCATCATCAGAAATATTTCAAAGAGTTATGATGAATTTGTTTGGTGATTTGGAAGGAGTCTTAATATTCATTGATGACATTCTAGTCTATGGCCCAAATGAGTCTGTACATAATGAGAGATTACATAAAGTCATGCAAAGAGCACGTCAAGTTAATTTAAAATTTAACAAATCTAAATGTAAATTTCTAGTGTCTGAAGTCTGTTTCCTAGGTTATATCTTTAGTAAAGATGGTGCAAGGGTTGACCAAGAGAAAGTTAAAGCAATTGTCAATATGCCTACACCAAAAAATGTCAAAGAATTACAAAGAATATTAGGTATGATCAATTATTTAGGTCCCTTTATTAGTAATTTGTCAGAAAAAACTCAAATTTTAAGAAATCTTTTGAAAAAAGATTCTGTCTGGTCTTGGGATGAGAATCACAATAAATGTCTTAAGGGTTTAATAGATGAAATCACAAAGTCACCTGTCTTAGCTCACTATAACCCCAACATTCCATTAGTCTTGTCAGTAGATTCGTCTAAATCAGCATTGGGAGCAGTCA